CTTGCTCTCCTAAGCCTCACACCCTCTCTATTTATAGAAGCAAGAGAGTGGTTGGTGGGAGGTAGGTGAGCAGTAGGTGAGCGGTAGGTGAACGGTAGGTGAACGGTGGGTGAGATGTGGTAGGTGAGCGGTACCACATTACAAAAGTGCCCTTTTACCTTAGTTCATTAATTGGGGGTCAAAATAACAGTTTTATATTTTTTCCTCAACTCTTACTTGCTTCTTCTTCTCTTCTTTCAGAAGACCCTTCCTCTCTTTTATGATTGTCAAACAACTTAGCAGTCAAACTTTCCTCCGTCATACTAATTTTATACTTTGGAACTTTCATTGTTTCGCTACAATGAATATATATTGAACAAAAGCCAAGGGAGAAAATGAGGTTTTTTTTATCACAACATTAGTTTCATATTTATAGAGCAATGACGTGAATACGGACAAGGACACATCACTTCAATAATTAATCACGCATCTTAAATAATTATTAATTAATTTTTGATGCATTTAATTTTCTTATTCTTTTTGAAATAAACATACAAAGAGATACGAGAAGAGGGTAACTAAATATATGTGATCAAATGCCTGATAGCTAAGTCAAAATCTCTATTTGCACAAAATTGGCTCAGCCTTGAAACTTTGGTCGTGTCTATCTAAATTTCAGTTCAGTCAAATTAGTGGATTTACTAGTCAAATTGGCAACTCACTATGATGATAGTCAAGTCGCAGCTCAACTATGTCAACTAATCAATTTGGCAACCCAGATTTTCAAGTTTATCAATTCGTCAACAAGCACACAATTACTCATCAAATCCACAACTCGTCTACTCGTCAATTCGACGACCTATAAAGTTACAGGATGCTATATTATTTCAATGTTTTTATCTTTTTTTTGTGTATCAATTAGACAACATAGCCAATATCAACCCAAACCTATACATAAGAGGTCAAGATTGAGACTCAGGTTATACAACTTAAGATATTGAACTTAGCTACCAACTCTCTTTACTTCTGTCGAGGCGAAAAACCAAAGCTTCTCTCTCTACAGCTCTCTTTTTCTCTCTCTCCATCACTCTTATTTAGGTGGTGTGAGTTCACTGACAATTTAAGATCCAACATTGCCATATGATGGCACAACATATACAATGCATTTAAACCATCACTGTCTATTATTTCCATATTAAAGATGTTCAAGTTGCATCACCTAGTTCAGTACCTGGGAGTTAAATGAGAATTACATATACACTTTGAGTGTAGGTCAAACAAAATAATTTTAGTGTCATGAGAAATTCAACAGTTTCATGATTGTTCTGCATTCAACAGCACGATACATGAAAAACATAAAAGCAACAGAATTGTACAAGAAAAAGCCTTGATTTTTTTACTAACTGAGATGTATACTTTTGGAGTGATTCTGTTCTGTTTTCCTCTTTTAATCTAACCGAAGAATAAGATTGGATCTAGGATTGCTTGGTGATGTAAAACATATTTAGCTGGTTATAATTCAAATTTATATTAAGGACTGGGATAGTTAGAGGAATAGAGAAAGGAAAAAGGAACACAGAATGATATAAAAGTTCAGTAGAAAAAATAGGAGTAACATGGACACCAACCAGTGACCTTTGCCTTCCATTGCTCTTCTTCAGAAAGGGAAAGTGCAATAGCATGATCAATATCTTCTTCATGTTTTGACAGGGGCTATTCAAAAATTCATTAAAAAGTAATTAGCTCACAAACATGAGGTAATTAAGTGTTGATAATCTTCAACGATACAATTTACTACAAAAATAATTGAAGTATAGAATTTCCAATATCTGAAAATGATAGGCAAAGCAACATATATATCAAGTTTTGCACAATTAACGAACATACTAGATAGTTCAAGTTAGCAGGTTTAAATGTTAAAATATCATAATCTTTAGCAGTGCTTAGGAGATTTGTAAATAAGCAAGAGGTTGTAATGTGAATTCGTTAAGCATAATGTTTCCACCTACTAAAAGTACGATGATGTGCACTATGGAAGATTGTGATGCTATATTGGTTTAGCACAATATTTCCACCAGTTGAGATTAACATTATCCCGTTAGGAATAATTACAGGTAATTTATACTATGTTATGTGATATGGTGAAAAGGAATACACCCCATCACAAAAATTAGGGTGCATTTCTAAAATAACAATATGCACTTTGTCATCAATATCTTAAAATGAGATAAATTGATATTAATAGGTAGAGAAATTTCATATTTACAAACATGATTAAAAATAGAGACTTGACCACTAGTAGAAAATATGTGCTACATTTATTCCAGAGATTCCCAGAATTTTCATGAAGGAGATAAAACCTATTTAGCCGACGGTTCCTTCATATGGAACCTAGCTACTATTATCATGCCCAGAAATGTACTTGCACATTAATTATCATCCATATAACTACCAGGAAACAATTATATTCAAACCATAATATACCGTTCATCCCTGCCAGACTATCTCCTAATAGGTTTTGTATCATTGCAATTTACTAATTGTGCAAAACATCTTGCCTGTATGCTTCATACCCCGTCCCTTTTTACAAATAAAACTGATAATTCATTGGCTTGCTACGTAAGAAAATATTCAAATCAATGAGACTTAACAGCAAAATTATTAGTTGTTTTAGATATGCTGAACAAGTTTCCAATTGAACCTTCCCCTTGAGTTCTATCTGATATCCCAGAGCTCTTAACGCAAGCATGTGGCTCAGTTTCAAGCTATAACAGTAAGATTATCACAAAAGAAAGGCACCTCCTTCCACAAATGGTATCGATCAAGCAGATTATTCATTTCTAGATAATCTCGACAAAAGTCGATGTCATAAACTCCAATGGAACCATATACTAAGATGGACAAGAAGTATACGGCTATCTAACTTAGTATTTAATGCTAGCCTGGAATATGTGGCTCCTGCAATTTGTAAGTCTCTGGGCCAAAAGAAAGACAACTAGATTGATACCATCCCTTAAAAAGTTAGAGAAGATAGCTCACGAACAGAACCAAAATGGAGATGATTTAGTAATCTTAAAATCCAAAGCCCTATTAATTCATATTAAAATAAGGAATGTCATAATATCGAATATAGAATTGAACAGTTAAAAATTTACATAGCCACCACAGTATGATTACTTAGATGTAAGAGCATACAAGAGAGCAGATAATTTTCAGGACTTCCAGAATGGAAGAAAGAATAAATTTATTCAGCATTGCATTACCAACGAATTAGAAGATTCATTCCAATCCCCATCACCGCTAGTTTTCCCCTGGTATAGCCCTTTAGAGATCTTATGGCTCGAACCTTTGAAAATCTTGTGCAGCCAAGCCATTCCTTGAGGCTATTTTCAAAGAAAGAAAGTATGTCTGTGAAATGGAAACAAAACATTTAAAACATATAGAAATTAGGAAGGTCAACAAATGTTATGGCAAAGTTAAAAATCAAGTTTGCCAGTTTTATGCAATCGACTCAGTAGATCATATTCTTCCTAAACCTGCATTGCCAAGTAATCCATGTACTGGTTATGGCTTGTTTTACATAGTTGATCTTATTGTACATAAAACATAAGAATTAGCTTTCATAATAAATAAATCTCGAAAAACTAGTAATAAAATTTAAGAATTTAGGGCAATCTATCCACCTAGTTTAAGTACAGTTTATATCTTTGCCTGAAGAAGATAATTCAGATGATATATGAAACTAAATACCCTGAAAACGGCAACTCATTGGAGTAAGAGAGCTAATAGTCCCTTTAATAGATTTCTCCAAAAAGAAAACAGCCATATTAAGAAATGAACTAGCAAAATATCCATTTTAAAAATGAATTCTTCTTTATTTCCTGATTTGATAAGGAAAATGGTGCTTGAGCTGGACAAGAGTGAAGCTTTACAAGTTTGTGAGGCTATCTTCAGGTTGATTTAGACCTTTTTTTTCTTCGAAGTTTGGACAGGAGTGAAGCTTTATCGAGCTTCAGTAATAAGTGTACCATAAGTGACTGAAATTAAATTAATTAGTATAGCGAGTTTATGGAAAAGCATAAACAAATACACAAATCATTATTTTAAAAAATGAATCGATAAAAGTAATGTCTTATTCCAAACAAACATCTTTAAATAATAAAATAATAAATTAAGTTCTTATAAAGTATAAAGTATTCATCTTGACAATTAAGAGCAGGGTTGTTCATGACCTATTTAAAAAAGGGGAATTTACATGCATACAACACAATTCTTATGTATTTACATATCTAACACCTAAAGTTTAATATTTACATATATAGTACAATTACATCTAAAAATGATAAGCTGAATAAATAAACAAAAAAAAACAAACAAGAAAGGTTCTATTTCAAGAAAATCAATACTAACAGAACAATGAGAAGTCAAAAGATAATTTAATTGGGTTTATCAAGAAATCAATTGTCTTCCAGTTCATCCATCAAAGAAGAAACTTAGGAAGAAAGAAGAACTGCCATTTGCATTATCATGGACTGTGGATCACAGTTGGGCCTCATAGGACATAAGTAAAATTCATGTTTAATCTAAATGCTTAAGCTAGAGATAAGTGTCCACCCATTAGTATTTCTACTCCTAACATACTTTCAATTATTTGATGTGGAACTAAACTCAAAACTCATGCATGCTTTAATAATCTACTTCTTGAGTTTGAGCTCTCTATATCAGCTGTAACAAAAAAAATGGAGCATTTACATTGGCACACAATTCTTATGTAATTACATATCTCAAGCCCAACTTTAACCCAAAAATTTAGTTCAACTAGTGAAGGTCAACTATTTGATATATCTACAACTGCATATTCTTCAAGTATCTGAAGTGGGACTACATGGAATACTCATATGTTGTAACAAGCACCTCCAAAAAGAAAATAAGCAAAGTTGGATACAACTGAAAGGAAACTATTTAGACTATCTAGAAAATCAGCGGTTTCATAGATTTTCTTTACAATTTTTTCCCAGTCCAGATTCATAATACATTCTGCAAGCATGAGATCATTTCTTCAATTGAAAACATTCCATTGAGCACAAGAAATGAAATGGAATTACAGCGTCTAATCCCAGGATAATGTTTGTTCAAAATCCTCAAGCTTGTACATTGTATGACTCCCATAAATATAAAGAACAAAAAGCTGAAAATATCAGGAACTAGTAGGGGTGACAACATGCAGCTATAAAACTAGCAGGCTCATCAAGCACGTATCAGTAATCACGAATTCTACAAGGATCCAGCAGATTAATTTTCAATCAAGAAGCATACGAAAAGCAATCATCACAGGCCTCCTCACAACCATGGCTAAAAAAAATAACAGAGCGAGAAAATCAAATATCAAACACTAGAAACCTAAATCAAGAAGCATATTTGTCTCAAATTTCATTTCATTGTTAGACTGAAGCAAGAATTATAGACAAAATTGTCAACAGCCCATAAGAAAAAACGTCATCACCAAAGAATCAGAAGTACTATTAACGAACTTCTGCTGGTACCAAGAAGAAATTATAGGAAAAGACACTTAACATCCTCAAAATCATAATTCTCCGAGCACAGCAACCGTAAACAAAATCAACAACAACTTAACAGACGTGAAAAGCAGGTATATGACAAAGGCGCAAGTTACTCGACTTAATATTACCTAAAACTGATATGAAACGGAACAAACTGAAATTTTAATCAAGACGACGATTAGATAACAGCGATCAACATCTTCTCACTCCCAAACCTCGAAAAGCAATCTCGTTCATCTCATCCCGATTCAGTATCTGGAAATAGAAAAGCCAAAAAAAACACAAATTTTCAGAAAGTTTGATTCTGCTGGATAATTGACGGAAGATAACTTCAATTCCGATAAACAAAAAGTTGCAGACAACTAATTCAATAACAAAGAGTCGAAAAAAGGAACACGGCTTACACTTTCCTCTAAACTTGGCGGCTCTTCGTTCTGCCATTAGCTCCATTGCGAACCATGAGAGATTCGGCCCTCATTTCGAGATGGATTGTTGGGTGCGGGGTCTTTTTCAAATGCATTTTAGGCTTCTCAGACGGGTCCACACCTCCACACGGCGACGAAGACTAGGAAGAAGAAAACGAGAACAGCGGCGAAGTGGAAAAGGGGAGGAGAGAGGATGCATGGTTAAGGTGATGTTTGGAATAATGTTGTTTCTTTTTTAGTAGTATTTCATAATTTTTGGAATAATGCATCAATATTTAAATTTTAATTATTAATTTTTTATGAGTTAAAGGCTAACAAATTTTAGTGTGATTGGTGTTAAGTTTTAATAAATCTCATTAAACTATTTAATTATTTATTTTAGAGATTAAGAATTTAAATAATTTATGAGATTTCATTATATCTACTTAGCCTAAACTCAACTTAATAGACCAATTAGATCATTATTAGAATCAGATAGCATCATCATTTGTATACATCACAACTCTTAGCACAAATCTTAAAGCATTCAGATGGCCCGGATGAGGGCGAGACAATCAAGGTGTCATAAACGGTCGGTAATCAACTGACACATTGTGTCAAGAGATTCAAGTGACATATCACACTAACAGTCTAGGCCAACCAGAACACAGGCAGGAATAATTGATCGTGGCTGATCGATCAACCCGCCTTTACACGGCGGACGAAATTTACATTTGAGCAGGCGCCTCAGCCCTCCAATCTATTGCTCGGTCCACACTCAGTTGGTGGTTGAATTCAAGCAAGTCACCCGATCAATTACCGTCAAACAAAAATTCAAATTGTACCACATATATGGAGTAAAATCCATACGATTAATGAGAATATACAATGTATTAATAATAGTTTCAATAATGATTCCTCTTTTCTATATTTATACAAAATATACCTTTATAATATAAAAAAATATATGAATAAAGGGACCTTTCACCAACTCTCTCAATAAGCAACCTCTTACGGGCTATACTCTCTCTTTTCATCTCTTCTCCTTCACTTGATCCCCAAACTCTCGAGATGTGTTCACAAATGACAATTTAGGATCTAACATCCTAAAAGATGGTGCGGTGAGCATAGATATACCACATACGAGAAGTGTGAGAGACTACGAAGAAGAAATCTCTCAAAAGGGTATAGCACGCATGGAACCCAATAGAGAGGCTACACAACCAGACTTCCATACACAGGTCCAAGGCCTGTAAGCCCAAATGTCCCTCATGATGGCAATTCGAGATCTTCCGGGCAGCAATCACCTAGAGGATGACCAACCGCCCCATTTGGAGGCAAAATCTTAGGGGGGTCCATCCTTGAAGGTCCCCACTGGCCAACCCATCCGCTCAGGACAATTAAGTAAACAACCAACACACAGAGGGACAAGATAAGTCCCAACACACTGATATTGGTGTGTCTGTATAGACGAACAAGCAAAGGCAAGAGTGGATATGAGTGTCTATCCAATCACTCACAGGAAGGGATTTTACTCTTTAAATTAAAGAGGTAGTGCCACCGTCCAAGCTAAGGATCCCTCGCTTGGATTCCTACAAAGGGAGGCAGGACTTGATCGACAACGTAGAGTCGCTTGAGTCTTCAATTAGTCTGCTTTAGATCGATGACCCCATAATATGTCGTCTCTTCTTGACCACACTGAAGGATCGAACCTTCGATGGTTTTTAAAGATCTGTTAATTGAGGTCATCCCAAATTACTATAAATTTAAAAGACTCTTTATTTCACACTTCTCAAATATATAAAAACAGAGGAAAGACTCAGATACCTTGCTCAACATCAAACATGGAGAGGGCGAGAGCCTACAGGCCTACATCGCCAGCTTCTAGAACAAGATGCTAAAAATTAGAAATCTAAAACCCAAAACAGCGAAAATAACTTTGAAGTAAAGTGTAAAGAGTCTGAAGCAATCGATTTAGGAATGACCTAAATCTGTTTAAACCTACTACTTTTGCAAAATTATTGGAGATGACGAATGAGCACATACTCGCCAAGAAAGACCTCCAATGCTCCCTATAGGGTAAGCCAGAATAGTTCAATCACCCGTCAAAGAAGCGAAAAGAACGAGGAGAGTTGTGAAGGGTTAAAGACAATCAGTCATCCACCAATCACCAAAACAACAACTCTCGTCTCGAGATCAATGAAAAAATGACCAAAAGCAACGCTCTGATCAATGGTTAGCTCATTATTATGAGCAACCACATGTTTACAAGGTAATGCAAGGTATGACACCTCTCAATGTGTCGATGGCCGAAATAGTTCATCATCTAAAATAAGGACTACTTCAAGTTGGTTCCATCGCTACGGGTGAGCCTTGCCTTACGGGATCCAAAGAAGTGCTACCGGTACTGTTGTGACCATGGTCACGACATAGAGAAGTGTCGACACCTCTCAAAATTGATTGAAGAACTAATCAGAGTCGGGAAGCTCAAGCAGTTTGTTGCAGCCGACGCACACACACAACGACAAGGAAAAACACTGGCAGGAGATCTCTCCAACAAACTTGTCAGGGCGAATGAGGTCCATGTAGCAGGAATAATAAATGTTATCTTCGTGGAAGGACCCCGACCCGCCGATTCAAAGAGACAAAATAAACACTCAGCAATTCTTCTGTAGTAGTCTCCTCGAGGATACACCATAAAAAAAGGAAACACTCCTCCATCTTAACGAGACAATGTTGTATGAAGTCAGAAGATACCCCCCTCCCCCCACCCCCAG